TTTACCAAAACACTATTCTCCTTTTCCCAGACCTGAAAGTAGTTCTATATCCAACCCATCTGTCTTGATGCCCTCTGCCTGTATAGTTGTGCCTAGGAAAGTAAATATAGGGTCTGACTTGGTACAGATATGACAATTTCTTGCATGTCCTTGGGAGAACTTTTTGAATTAAGTTTAAGTATTTTTGGTGTCCATTGTTTTAAATGCAAAGTTTATGTATCATTATGTGTGGTTCCTGTATAAGTTTGCTCATGTCCAACATGAGTAAAGACCTATGCCTACACTTAAGAATATAAGAACGTCCATACCGGGCCAGACCATCTAGCCCATCCTGTCTTCTGACAGTGGCCAGTGACAGATTCTTGAGGGAGTGAACAGAGCAGTGCAATATTGAGTGATCCATCCCCTGTAATTCAGCCTCAGCTTCTAAAGTTGGAAGTTTAGGGACACCTCAACAGATGTTTTCAGAGAACTACCCACAGTTACTTCAAGATCTTTCTTGAGTGGTAGCAGCTAATTTTGACCCCATCATTTTGAATATATACTTGGGATTATTTTTTCTAATGTGCATTACTTTGCACTTATCAACATTGTATTTCATCTATCTTTTTTTGCCCAGTCATCAGTTTAGTGAGAGCGCTTTGTAACTCATCGCATTTTGCTTTGGACTTAACTATCTTAAGTAATGTAGTAACTTCTGCAAATGTTGTCACCTCACTATTCACCCCCTTTCCATATCATTTATGAATATGTTGAACAGCACAGGTCCCAGTACAGATCATTGGGGGACCCCATTATTTATCTCTCTCCATTGTGAAAAATAACCATATATTCCAAACCTTTGTTTCCTTTAACCTATCTTTTAACCAACTACTGATCTGTGAAAGGAACTTCCCTTTTATCCCATGACTCCTTCCTTTGCTCAATAGCCTTTACTGAGGAACCTTGTCAAAGACTTTCTGAAAGTCCAACATGACAAAGTTCCTCCTCTATCTTGGTGGGTCCTGCACTTATTGGCAGATTTTCTTGCCACCGAGATTCACCATGTGGGTTGGGGAACAGCCCAGAGACCTTCCCCTCTGGAAGAACCCAGAGTCCAGGTCAATTAGGAGGTTTGGGGGGAACCCGGGCCTGCCCTCTACTCT